AAAGGTCCAAACGTTTTTAGAGGCTCAGCCTCTGGGCCTGAATCTGGCCCTGGCCCTAAAACGTGTACCTGGCCACAAACGGACAACAGCACACATGTTAGAAAAACAGCAGCAAAAAATAAATAAATAAAAAATATAAAAGTAATCTAAAGCTGGCGTTTTTCTGATGCAGGCCCAAGTAAAAATGCCATAGGGCCTTCAGGTTGCGGTGACGCGGCCTGGGGGCCCTATTCCAACCTCGGGTCCAGTGAGGGGCCCATGTGTAGGCTCTCAGCATGTAACACGCCCCCCTCCTCATGAAGACGAGCAAGGGCGCGGGCGAAGCTGCCGATCCGATGGCGGAATGTAGCGAGGATGGCGAGGAGCTGGAGTGCTCGGCGTAGTGTTCCCTTTGCTAAGATAACGTGAGAGAACGGAGGGAGCTGTGGCCTGCAGTTCCGAACGCGTCAGCCAACGGTCAGCCTTGTGGCTGCAGTAGGAAAAGTGAAGTAGAAACTCCGTTTCTTTGTTGCCATGGCGCCGGTCGGTGATGATGTAGCCGGCCTCCTGAAATCCGTCCATGGAAGGAGGGTCTTGCGTACGTCGACCGGGAAACTCGTCGGACTCCGTTGAAGCAAAAGGAGCGAGTTTGGAACAGTGGAACACCGGGTGGACGGGCAAGTGAGGTGGCACCGCGATGCGGAATGAAGACCCCTTGGGATCATCACCAACTGCAGAGAGAATGCGCCAAGGCCCCATCCACTTGGGAAGGAGCTTGCGAGAGATGTCTTGCTCAAGGTTGAACTCCGCGGCGGAGACCCAAACCAGATCGCCGACGCGGAACGGGCAAGGGAGACGATTGCGGTTGGCTTGACGGCTCATCCGTATTTGTGTCTTTGACATCTGATCCCATGCCTTGACAAGAAGCTCTTGCATGCGACGAAGGAACGCAAGATGGTCGTCGCTCTCGGCTGTGCGCGGCAAAATGGCGTCCAGCGGCGATGAGATGGGTGAACCATGCTCAAACTCGAACGGCGACATCCCGATAGTCAGATGGATCGATGAGTTGTCAGCCAACTCGACGTCTAGCAAGCGCTCAACCCAATCAACTTGGTCGAGACGGATGAGAGTGCGTAGAAGGACTTGAGCGGTCTGATGCGCCCTTTCTGTTTGACCATCGGTTTGCGGGTGGCGAGCCAAACTCGGCTTCAAAGATGAGCCCCATCGATTGACGAGGGCGACCCAAAAGTCGGAGAGAAAGCSAGTGTCCCGGTCGCAAACGATCTCCTTGGGGTAGCCCTTGGAGCGAATCCAACCGGTGTAAAAGACCTCGGCTAACTCCGGTGCCTTTGCGTGATAGCGGCAAGGCAAAAACATGGCGTACTTGGTGAGGCGGTCAACGACCGTGAGGATCCCATCAACGCCGGTCTTGTGCTTCGGGAAGGGGCCGGTGATATCCATCGCAATCGCTTCCCGTCGCCCAAGGGGCACTGGTAGTGGGTGTAGCTCGCCGAACGGATGGCTGCATGACTTGCAACGCCGACAGACTTCGCACGACTCACAATAGTGGGTGGCGTCCTTGAGAAGGTCGGGCCAATAGAACCGTTGGCGAAGTCGGCCAGGTGTACGATTGACACCAAAATGTCCGGAGGCGAGCGCATCGTGAAACTCGCCAAGAAGCCATGTGCGCAAGTGTGAATCACTCGGCACACAAAGAAGATCCTTACCCCGTGAATGCACAAGCAAGTAGCCCTCTTGGATCCGATAATGCGAAGGCACCGGATTCGGAGAAAAGCAATTCGTGTACTTGTCGCGAAAGTGGGGGTCGGCTTGATAGCTGCGGATGAAACTCTCCCGCAAGTCATTGTCAATCTCGAAGGTAGAGTAGACTGCGGTGCAAAGATCCGGTCGCCGTGAGAGGGCGTCCGCAAAACGGTTTGACTTCCCGGGAATGTGATCGGGGAAAAAGTCAAACTGGTCGATGAAAGCCATCCAACTTGCAATGGTACTATTAATCGTGTCCTGTGATTTGTAGAATGCCAACGGATTGTTATCCGTTACCCATCGGAATGCTTGCCGACCAAGGAGGAAATGTCGCCAACGCTTGAGGGCGTGGACGAAGGCAAGAAGCTCCTTCTTTCGTGCGTCGTCGATCGAATGCACGGGAGGCACTTCTTGCAAAAGTACTCGACCGGGTGCCAGTCTGTGCCATCGTGCTGCTCAAGGACGGCCCCAATGCCATAACGGCATAGCCTGACGCATCGGTAGTGACGCACGTAGCTAGAAGCGGGTCGTAAATATGTAACACCTCTGCGGATAAGAGTGTCGCTTTGAGTGTTTCAAAGGAACGGCGCGCGTCGTCGTCGAAGTCAAAAGGCCGCTCCTCGCTTTGTAACTTGCTTAGGTTGGCCGCAATCTTCGAGTAACCCTTGATGAAGCGCTGATAATAACCGGCCAAGCCGAGAAAGGATCGGACGTCCGTCACATTCCTCGGCTCGGGCCACTCCTGGATGGCTTGAATCTTGTCCGCCAACGGACGAATGCTTTCCGGAGAGACAAGATGGCCCAAGTATTCAAGCTCTTGCCGGACAAACTCGCATTTGTCGCGGTTGGCTTTGTACCGGGCTGACCGAAGAGTCTCTAGAACACGGTGAAGGTGCTCGAGATGCTCCTCTAGAGTTCGGCTATAGACGAGGATATCGTCTAAGTAGACCAAAACAAAGCGGTCCAACATAGCGCGAAACTCGGTGGTCATGGCCGCCTGAAAGGTGGTCGGGGCATTGGTGAGGCCAAAAGGCATAACTACCCACTCAAAATGCCCATATCGCGTCTTAAACGCGGTTTTGTACCAATCTTGCGGGCGGATGGAAATCTGATGATAGCCCGACTTGAGGTCCAATTTTGAAAAATACTTAGCGCCGCTCAGACGCTCAAGCAAATCGTCAATGCGAGGTAGAGGCCCCGCGTTCTTGATGGTTTGCGTGATGAGGCGTCGATAGTTGATACAAGTCGAAGGTCCTTGTTATTCTTCCGAACGAAGAGAACGGGCGCACCGTAAGGTGAGCTGCTAGGGCGGATCCAACCCTTGTCAAGTAGATCATCGAGTTGCACACGGAGAACCGTGAGCTCCTCCTCGGACATGCGATAAATGCATCCCTTAGGTGGCACGGCGCCGGCCTCAAGTATGATCTCGTGAGAGATCGGCCGGTCCGGCACTATACCGGAGGGAGTCTCGAACACGTCCGAGAACTCGTCTAACAACCGGGTCACACGGGGGTCGGAAGACAAATCCGTGGACGATGAGTCGGTCGTAGGGACGGTTCGAAGAAATGCGATGCCAATCTCTTCGATGTGCTCGAAACGGCACGTGTCTCGGAAAGATTTGGCACTCACGACTTGGCACCGAATGGAGGAGCGAGGAGGAATAGTACACGGGACCTCGGCGCCAACGGCATCATGAATCGTGAGCGTGCGTCGATGGAAATTTACCGTGTGGTCCGCGCTAGAAAGCCAAGGTATCCCCAAAATGACATCGAAGTCGGTGTCCAATACGTCAAAAGTGACGGGTTCACATGCGTGCGGTGCAAAATACACCGGGACAGCCGAGATGTAACGGTCTAAGAACTGTTTCGTCTTACCGTCGGCAAAAGCGACCGTCGTCGGATGTGACTTCCTCCGTATTTGTGCCCCAAGACCAGCCCGAGTCATGAAGGACTGGCTGATGAAGTAGCGAGTTGCGCCGCAATCCAGCAAAGCGTTGCAGGCCGCTTGCCCAATTTGAATGCGGACGTAGAGCAACGGTGCGTTGTTTTCTTCGTTCCGTTGCGAGGCAAACTCGCCGGCCACCTTGGCAACGTAGCCAAGCATGTCCCCTACCGCGACTTCGTCTACCGTCGGCGAAGTTGGTGGTGCATGGAAGGAGAGATACTCGTGTAAGAGGGCGCATAGTGCTGCGCTTTGCGGCCCCGGAAGGCTGCCCGTCGTAGGGAGAGGAACCCAAGCGAAATCCTCGGGCGTGAGCGGGTCCAAGACCTCCTCGTTGAACACGCTTCCTGAATCCCTTGATGAAGACGAATTGACGGAAGAACCCTCGGACGGTGAGAAAGCCGCACATGTATCTTGTCCTTGAGAAGCGTCCAGCGAAGGAACGAGCCAGGCAGCAAAGTCTTCGAGCGAAAGTGGAAGACTCCCGACATCCGCATATGCCTCGGAAGAAAGGGCGGTCGTGAGCACAACCGCTTCCGATGGCGTCGAGGGAGGTGTCGAGTCACCCTCGGCGGCGCCTACTTTCCCGAACGGGGTTTCCCCTTGGTGGGGCAATGTGCAGCATCGTGGATGGTGCTGTTGCACCAAAGACAATAACGGTACTTGAGTCTCGTGCGGTAGCAATTCGCCGAGAGTCCGTATTGGAGCCAAGGTTCATAGGCTGCTGATCCGGTGCCCAGTGAAGAGGTGGACTGAGTCTTCGTCTTGTTGCGGCCGTGATTGTTGCGTGGCCGGCCACCATCCCGGGCAGCTGCCAACACGTCACCCTCGTTTGGTGTTGCAGCCTCGGTAGAAGAAGTTGGCAAAGTCCCCGTAATGCAAGCCACCTTTGGCTTGGGCTGGTTGATGCTCGACGTCGCGGAAGATCGGCCGGCGTTGCGGGCTTCTACATTCGTGAGAATGATCCGTGACGCTGTGCTGAAAAGCTTGTCCGACGTGTCGAGTGTCTGTGCAATCTGCATCAGCGCGTTTTGCAGAGCTGGACACGAGCGCATGATGAACAAGTGCTTGACGCCGCGGAATGCGAGCGGCAGGTCGAGTGTGGAAGCGAGTCTTTGAAACTCGGTAATCCAGTCCTGACTGAGGAGCGTGTTCTGATGGAGCTTGTTGAGCTTCTCCATCGCTTACAGGTCGGGCGGCTCCACTTGGAATCGATTGTGCCAGGCGTCAATCAGTTCCTGCCAAGTGAGCTTGGTGTGCAGTTCCGACACTGCTACGCCGTGGCTGGTCAATATGTTGTCCAACCATGCTTGACATGCACCACCAGATCGGTGGTACAAGCACGCATGTCGATCGGTGTTCAGGACATGGTGCATGTCGATCCTGAGAGTGAACTGGCGCCACCACGGGATCGGTTCCGTCTTGGTCTAATCGCAGAAAACTGGAATGTCATCCAGTTTGGGTGGGCGTCGGGAGGATGCGACCGCAGGCGTCACGGAAGCAGCGGCCTGGACCTGTGTCTCCAACTGCAAGTTCGTTGCTTGCTGTGACGTCCGGAAATTCTGATGCACACGCTTGATGTTGCTGACGTCATCCTCCAAAACTTGGATGCGGGTGGCAAGGTTGGAAGGCCCTGCGGCTGCTACAGCAGCTGGCTGTTTCTCCAACGCCTGCAGTCGTGCAAGCATCTGGTCCATTGTCTGCTGCAGGTGAAGGATTTCCTCCTGCTGCAGAGCGCAGGTGGCCACGAGGTCGTGGGAGATGTGCGCAACGGCGGACAGCCCTTTGTCAGTCACCGATGCCTCGTCCCCAGATGCCATTTCCACCCAATGTGTGGTCTCATCACCGATCACGGTCTCCCGCGTGAACAGTCGTTCCCGCTGGCGTGACCGGTGTTCAGCTGCAGCCTGCAGGTCTGCCTCTTCTTGACGAAGTCGGTCCTGTTTCTCCTGCTGTCGCTTGGTCTCCTCTTCTTGCTCAATCCGGTTCCGTTCCTTGGCCGCCGCGGCAGCCCTATAGTTGGCCTCCTGGATGAACGCAGCCAGGCATTCCTCATAGGCCAGGAGGGATTCTCCCGCCTTCTGGTCCATGGCCTTGGTCTGTGATCGAGTGAGCAGTGGCATGCACTGTCGTGCCCGAACTCTGAAGAGTCACCCGTGTGCCAAACAGATAGACTGGCCCAGCACCCGGACTGGAGGGGGAGGAACAGGTAGGCAGGCAGCACGCAAGTGGGAAAGATCGGACAGATCCAAAAATGGAACAGTCTCCTCACCAAAAAAAGTATTTATTTTTTATTTAAAAAAAATAAATCGAAAAATTTGAAAAAAAGACTGGCCAATCCCACGGAGTACCGAAGGTGATGCTGAAGGCAATTGTGAACCTTCGGTGCTCGGACTGCAGATAATCAGAAAAGGAAGAATCTTTACAAACTCAGAGTAGGAGTAGGTTGCAAAAAGAACAAAATGCCGTTTTTTTTTGTTTTTTTTTTTTGAAAAAAAGAACGGAATTTACAGCCCTACGCAGTGAAAGTGTAGAGGGACAGTTTCGAAAGAATCGCAAAATTGTCAAAATGCAGACAATATTTAATAATTAAACAAGAAGAAAAAAAAACTTCTCGGAAAAAAAATAATTTCTCGGAGGGGAAAAATTTTCTCGGAAAAAGAAATAATTTCTCGGGAAAAAAATAAATTAAATAATTAATTCCGGGAGATTCCCAAGATTAAATAAGAAATTGCCAAATAATCAATCAACTTAATCAATCAATCAATCAATCAATCAATCAATCAATCAATCAATCTCAGATGATTGCTGGTTGATTGATCGATTGATCGATCAATCAATCGAAGATTGATTGGTGGCAATCCCCCGATCCAATCAATCAATCGATTGATTGGTTGTTGCCAAGATTCACTGCAACAGCTCCGATACCACTTGTAGCATATCAGGAAGTGAAATGCACCGAGAGCCTAAGATCTAGCAATGATGAAAGTGGCAACAACCAGCAGCATAGATGCAACATTCACAAGATGCCAATGTGCACAATGCAAAGAGTAAACCAACGAGAAATCAACAACAATCCATTCACATCATCATCATCATAGGCTGGGAAAACAGCGCAGCGGAAAATTTAGTAATCAAAGGACACGAGGACAAACAAACATGGAAGAGAGAAACTTGGGAAGGGCAAGACATCAGAAAGATTGCCCTTCCGCTCACACACATGGGGAGAGATCCATAGACATGCGAGAGAGATCTCCGAATGTCGATACACAGTTCAATCCCAATGTAGAGTACAAGTCCGATCTGAATGTCGTGTCCAATAAGGCCGAATGCCGTGTCCAAACAATGTCTGCAGTACCTCTATCTCTACTCTGATGAAGAAGAAGAAGAAGAAGAAGAAGAAGAAGAAGAAGAATTCGGAGGAGTAGGGGAAGAAGAGGAGAGAAGAAGAAGAAGAAGAAGAAGAAGAAGGAGAGGAGAAGAAGAAGAAGAAGAAGAAAGCTAGGCGCTTTCTGATCCTACTTACCTGGGTGCTGACTGCAAGTACCGCGGGAGCCCAGCTATGGCGCTGGTAAGTCGCGACAGGTAAGTCCCTCTTCTCTCTCTCTCTCTCTCTCTCTCTCTCTCTCTCTCTCTCTGAACTCCACTAACCTCCTCGGCGCTGGACTCCTCCAGCGCTGTGCCACATTGCCGAAGAACAGCGCAGCCGGCAGTCTCCAAAATAGCGCAGCAGGTAGTCCCCAAATAGCGCAGCAGGTGAAGTTCTGAACCAGCGTAACGCTGGGTTTCTCCTTGTGTCCTCTGTCCAGAACTGGGCGCTGGCCCAGCTTAAGTAGCGCTGGGCCGGACCCAATGAGTCCACGGCCTTCGTTCTGGACCGTGCAGATCGAAATCCGATCCACGGTCCAGATCACAGGCTTCGGACTTGGTTCAGTCCTTGGCCTAAAACGGCCTGCCTGGGTCCCTACCGGACGTCCAGGCCCTGCCCAGGACTGGGCCTGTTCGGTACCTGGTCCGATTCAGGGCCTGTGCGAATGCATCGGGCCTGAACGTCGGTCCAGGTCCGAATGGTCCAAAATCTATCCGAAAAACAAAAAAAGGTCCAAACTTTTTTAGAGGCTCAGCCTCTGGGCCTGAATCTGGCCCTGGCCCTAAAACGTGTACCTGGCCACAAACGGACAACAGCACACACGTTAGAAAAACAGCAGCAATAAATAAATAAATAAAAAATAAAAAAATAATATAAAGCTGGCGTTTTTCTGATGCAGGCCCAAGTAAAAATGCCATAGGGCCTTCAGGTTGCGGTGATGCGACCTGGGGGCCCTATTCCAACCTCAGGTCCCGTGAGGGGCCCGTGTGTAGGCTCTCAGCATGTAACAGCCTGTCTGCTACTGAATGTCAAGGCCTGGAACCTTCCCGAATTTCCATTGGACTGCTGCTGCTTGGGCCTTTGAGTCATGACTTTTCACTTGTGAACATGAGTTTTGTCTGTGATCAGTGACTCCTGCCTGTGGGTCACGACCTTTGCCTGTGTTTCTACCTTTTACTCGTGGGATGTGTCTCGTCAATATGACTTTTCATTAGGAAATGTGACTTCTGCCTTTGAGACATAACTCTTCCTTGGTGAATCTGCCTTTCCATTCGTGGGATGTGACTCTTCCCTATGGCTTTTATTATGAGATGTGACTCTTGTCCCTGAGGCGTGACTGTTTGCTGGTTGCCAGTTGGACCAGACTGCTGAGGTACCCGAATGTGACTTTTCTGAGTTTGACGAACTCGGCCTTTTCTTGACCTGGGCATCTGACCCTGAGATCCGAATTTGGGGTCTGAATCGTGGAAGGCCTTTCACTCTCGCCGGCATAATTTCGAGGTCCTCCGAGAAAATTACCAATTTTATCTATCTACTGTGTTAACTCCTCTCTTAGCTCTTTCATAGTATGATACAATATGCGGTGCTGTTTCTATTAGTTCATCTCTCGTGAACCAGGGATCTTCAGTAGGTTCTTGATAGGCAAATCTGACCTTATATTGTTGCTGTGGTCTACCCCTGCGTCCAGATCTGTAAACATCTTCCCCAACAATTCTATCCACATCATACTTACCATCCATATCAGGGGAATTCATAGATCTGCGCGATGGAAACATGTCATTACTAACACAAGGCAATAACTTTGAAGCGTGGAACACCTGATACGTGTGCAAATGTGGAGGAATCTCAACAACATCACCAATCACATCAAGAATCTGCCAGGGTCCTCGATAAGCAGGTAATAACTTCTGAGAAATGTTCTCCTCAGGGAGAAACTCTCTTGACTAGACCACCTACAGCAAATTGTGAAGGTCTGCGATGCTTATTAGCCTGTTCTATCATTTGATGTTGTGCCTTACTAATATTCTCTTTAACTTTTTCCAGGTCTTTCTGATATTGGACAACGAATTCCCTGGTTCCTGGCGGAAGTCTATGTACTTGATCAGGGTTTAGACAGTCAATGGGTCTACAAGGGCGCCATCCTAGATGCAGCTCAGTAGGCGGTCTTGATGTGGCTAGATGCACAGAGTTGTTATAGGCACTTGCAACTTTTGGCAGATGTTCATCCCAGTCAATCTGATCTGGCCGGATGTACATGCGCAGCACTTGTTGCAGCAGCGTATTCATCTGCTCAGTTTGTCCATTTGTCTCAGGGTGTCTACCTGAAGACATAGTCAATTTGGATCCGTATACCTTCATTAGTTGTTGCCACTGCTCTCCTGTGAACCGAGAATCCCTATCACTTACAATAGTTAAGGGATGCCCAAAATCCTTCACCCAATGGTTAAAGAATTCCCTAATCACCAATTCAGTTCTTGCTTCTCCAGGAAGTGGAACAAACACAACAAACTTGTTAAACCGGTCTACTATAACCATAACCTGACTTTTTCCGTTTCTGCTCTTTATCTTAGTGTCCATAAAGTTTATAGACATGGAGTCCCCAGGTCCCAACGGAATAGGTAACGGTCGGAGTAATCCAAGGGGAGGCTGTGTGGAACTTTTGTTCCTTTGACAAACTTGACAGCCTTGCACATAAGAGATGCAATCGTGCTTCATTCCTGGCCACGTGTAGGAGCGTAGGAGGTTAGCATAAGACTTCCTCCATCCGAAGTGCCCGTTAGTATCGTGGTTTCCCCCAAGTATTATACTACGGACTTCTTCACTGTTCGAAACACATAGTCGGTCATGGAGATCTGTTTTTTCAAACAGCAGTCCCTGTGTTGCTTTATAGTCCGGGACTTCGTGAGGTGTTGTCTGCACTTTGCCAATGAACTGGCTGTAGACTGGATCACTTGTGTAGGCAGACGTCATCTTTTCCTGCAGCTCAGTGCCTGCATCTAAGTATGTGACAATGACACCGAAAAAGTCAGCCCTTCGGCTTAATGCGTCAGCGACAACATTGTGCTTAACCTTTACTAGCTTCAACTCAAAGTCAAACTGATCAATCTCCTCAGCCCACCTAGTCAATTTAGGTGTCATCCGAGCCTGGGTTTTCAGCGAGCGAAGTGTCTCATGATCCGAGTAAACCTTGAAGTGGCGTCCTAGCAGATAATGTCGCCAGTGATTCAATGCTTCCCTCAGAGTGAACAACTCCCTTTCATATGTAGAAGTGGCGACCTTTTCACTAGGCAGTCTACAGGACATAAACTCTACAGGTCTGTACCCATTCCCATTGTCTTGTTAGAGTACATCACCAATCCCGTATTGACTGCCGTCAGTGGTTACGATAAAAGGCAGAGATGGGTCTGCAACTTTTAACACCAGTAAATTAATCAAACACTTCTTCAAACGCTTGAAGGATGCGGTACAATCTTGATCCCATTTCCAGACTGTTTCTTTCTTTAGCAATCTGCGCAATGGGGCAACGATTACCGTAAAGTTTCGAACGAACTTGCGGTAATAGTTGGCTAGACCAAGAAACGAGCCCAGTTCCATCAACGTGTGCGGGTTGGGCCAATCTCTAATGGCTGCAATCTTAGCGTCTCCCGGTTGAATCCTATCACCCTCTACTATATGTCCTAAGTAAAGGACCTGACGCTTTGCCCGCTCACACTTCTTCGGGTTAATCTTAAACCACCAATACTTCCTGAATTCGCTCCGCGTATACGGCCAGCCAAAA